CCTGACTTCAATTCCCAGCAACCACATGGTGGCTAATAACCATCTATGGTAAGATCTGGTGTGCAGGTAGAATGTTGTATAAATAATAAATAAAAACTTAAAAAAAAAAAAGCTTAAAAAAAAAAAGTCTGAAATAAAGCCAGGTGGCTGGTCTCTACTAGAGCCTCTTGGAAATGCCCCATGTGTTGTGTGTTGGTTTATTAATTTTAATCCTCACTCCGGACTCAAGAACCGTTCCATTCTACTGGTGCGCTCTGGCAGTAAATACTCTTTCTCCCTCACTTGTTTAATTGGTTTAATAAAGATCTGACAGCCAATAGCTAGGCAGGAAAGGGAAGGTGGGGCTTCTGGGCTGAGAAAGGGTCTCTGAGAGAAGAATCAGATGCAGAAAGATTCACCAGCTGACAGACTTACCTAAGCTGTGAGAGAGAGGTAAAGAGTGAGCCAACCACATGGTGGGATGCAAACCAGGATTATTTGGGTTAATTTTCATGAGCTAGCTGAGAATCTGCCCAGCTATAGTGCCTAAGCTCTTATAATATGTCTCTGTGTTATTATTTATACCATAGGCAAGTCCAGAAAGTCCGACTATAATCTCCAGTCAGGGAATCCAATATTAGAGTCTGAGAGGGTTAGTGTAAAGTAACCTACAAAGTCATCCATTACTGTATGTGTATGCTAGAAATAATTGTTGGGAGTTGGTCTGCTGCTTATATTTTGATGCTAATTACGGGCTCTCAAGATCTGAGTACTGCCTGGATAAAACCTATCCTTGTTGTATGAACCTGCCTAAGACATTATAACTGACTGGTTGATTAACTGGCCTAAAGCCTGGGCAGGGCAGGATGGGGTAGGTATGTCTAAGGTTCCCATGCTTTGGTTTCAAGAGAATCACAAAGATGAACAGGAAGAAAGGAGAAAGAAAGATACCGTGATGGGTTATCATGGATAAGAAACCACGTGGGCCGGGAGGAAGGACTCCAATAATGCGTGGAGAGACCCATAAGTATACAAGCAAGTATTTTTAAGGTTATGGATGAAAGGTAGCCCAGATAATGATGGTTAAAGAGGGTGGCATTAGATGGGGGCTGGGAGGTGGGTGGTGGGGTTATTGAGATGGCGTAGGTAAAATATATGCCCAGCTCAAGGTAAATAAGGTAATTATAAAATCTAACAGGTGTGATAGCAGGTAAAATAATACCACCATGAGAATAAACATTATTGGGCAAATAGTGCTGGGCAAATAAAACATTATTTAGCCCAACACCATTTTTTATTTACAACAACAAATAATACCCAGGACCTCATGCATGCTACCTATCTTAGGTCCTGTTCTATTACTATGAAGACATGCTATGACCAAGTCAACACTATAAAAGAAAGCATTGGGGGCTTGCTTATAGTTTCAAGACATTAGTCCTTATCATCATGACAGGAAGCATGGTAGCAGGCAACCAGGCATGGAGCTAGGTGTCTACATTCTGATCTACAGGCAGGCAGGCAAGCAGACAGACAGACAGACAGACAGACTGACAGACAGATATGGACAGGCATGGACTTTTGAAAATTCAAAGCCAGCAACATACTTCTTCCAAAGAGGCCACACCTCAATCCTTCCCAAACAGTTCTACTCCCTGAATATATGAGCCTCTGGGGTTGGTCTTATTCAAACCAATATACTAGGTGAAAGTGTCCACTATTAAATAGTGAATCTGTGGTCTGGACTAGGGAACTCCTGCTGGCTGTGTCTGAGATCTGAATACTGTACCAGCTTCAACAATAGACCTGAGTGGTAGGTGCCCTGCTACCATGTCCCCAGTGCCTATTCTCTGTCCAATAGCATCCTCCCAAGGACAGGTATGGCTTAGCCCCTTTTGTAATGCTCATCAAGATAGAGACAAGAGAACATTATAGCATTCCTTTCCTAGGGAGACTTGCATAAACATCTATTCACACTATAGATCACTATGCCCAGAACTGAGAAATGATCTATTCAAATCCTTGATAAACTAATGAGTTTATTGGGTTTACTGAACAAGTATGTGTAAGGAGTTACTTACAGAAGTGTGGATAACCTTCAACATTTTCACACTGAAGAGTCCAATCCTGCATGAATGATAACCTCCTAAAAGGTGTATAAACAAACTCCCCACTTGTGTAACCTTTCATATTTCTGTATACTCTAACACTTGCTCAGGCCATACACATCAGGAAAGATTACATAAAATTAGCATGGAGGGAAGAGGCATGCAGATGCTGTGATCTCAGGTCAGCATCTGATGACCTCCTCCAGCTTTTTATTTATGAGGGTCTCACACTGGGAATCAGAGCTTCTCTGATTTCAGTATAGAAATAGCCATGTCATGCCTGGAGGAAATGATTCACAACATAAGCCTGGCATGACCTTCACTTGACAACTGATAAAGACAGACCTTTACCTGATAACAGAATGAGGACCAGGACACTTTGAATTACACTTGATTGGGTTCCAGTGGCCTTGGGCAACCCCACCCATCTACTCTGAAACTTCTCACTTGAGCTGCCTCCTCTGCTTTCTTCTGTGGATATCTTCCAATATCCTTGGGTCTCCATTGCAACTCAGGCATCGCCTTCACAGGGATCTGTGATGGTCCCAAAGCCACCTTGTAGGGAATATGCTACTTGGCTTTAGCAACATTCTGGAACCTTGCTGCAAGCCTCTGTGATCCACCACTTTTTATCTTTTGTGCTCACAAAATCAGTACCATGTATATCAGTGGTTCTATATGGGTCACAACCCTTTTGCGGGTCGGACAATCCTTTCACAAGGGTTGCACATCCAGATACCCTGCGTATCAGATATTTACATTGTGGTTCATAACAGTAGCGACATTCTAGTTATGAAGTAGCAACAAAAAAATAATTTTATGGTTGGGGGCCACCACAACATGAGGCACTGCATCAAAGGGTTGCAGCATTAAGAACGTTGAGAACCACCGGTGTGTATGATGCTGCCAAGTCCTGCTGCCAGCTTGAGAATTTACCAGGCTCCCTTGGATGACAGCTGCAGCTTTCAGTGGCCTCTGTAAGAAAAAATTATTTAGTTGTTTCTGAATGGGGGTGCTTTCTGCACCATTCAGTTCAGGCTGAATGGTGGAATAGGTGGAACTTATTCTTGCACAGGTGGAACTTATCTTTAAGGGTATCTTTTCTACTATCTCAGTAAAGAGAAAGCGATTCTTTTTAATGGTGCTAGTTCCTTTAACAGTTAATTATGGTGCTTTGCCTGCACTTTCTTTATCTGTAACTTCAAATTGCTCACACTACATTCCCAACAACGTTCACGTTTCTTATCTTTGCGCACTCTCACACTGTAGATCTGAATGCATAATGGCCCTACCACAACCTGAATAGTGTACGGTCTAGATTCTCTCAAACAAAACAAAACAAAAAACCTCAGTGTTTTGAATTCAGCTTCAACCAATTTCTTGGAAAATAGGATACAGCCAATATTTTTGCCAGAATGTATCATCAAAGGCTTCCAGCCCAATTCCCATTACAGTCCTTGTAGTCCTTGTTTCCCTCTTAAACCTAATAAGTTGAATGAGTTGGACTATATTTCTCTTGGCCTTCTGATCTTACGTGTTCCCAACAGAATGGCCAAATAAGCTCTGCTTACAGTATTTTATAGATCCACTGGCCCAAAGACCCAAGCTCATGTACTCCTCTAGCAAGTCCTTCCCAAAGGGATCCACTGGCCCAAAGGCCGAAGCTCATGTACTCCTCTAGCAAATCCTTCCCAAAGGCCTGAGCGCCACATGACTGGGTTGGTCACGGGAAGCTCTAACCTTTGGTACCAATGTTCTCATTGCTGTGACAAGATATCAACAAAGCAAAGGAAGAAAGAAAACATAATTCTGGTTTACAGTTTGAGGGTACAGTTCCATCAGTGTGGTCATGGTGGCAGGAAGTAGATGCTTGAACTCTGGTGCTCAGCTCCCTTTCATTTTTTTTTATTTATTTCATCTAGGATCTTAGACAATGGGATAATTGCCCACATTCAGGAAGGGACTTCCCTTCTCAGTTACACTTCTGAAAACACTTTCACAGACACCCCCCAGAGATGTTCTTCCATGGTGATGCAAGTCCAGTCAAGTTGACAAGGAACATTAAGCATTATAGAATGAAAACACTTCTCCCCAGACATATATAACCTCTAAGAAATGGAAGAGATAATGTCTACAAAGACTCTAAAGGCCAGTCTGGGAATACAGATCATACAACTAAAACAAAAGCAACAGGCCAACCCTTATAATAATATTGTGTCAATAAAGGGTACCTTTAAGTCTTTCACCAGGGATGGCAATCACTGCCAAAGGAGGCACACACATAATCACATCACTCAGAGACAGAAACGGCCTCAGCCCTGAAATGCGCTATCCTAATCTTGTAGGGTCTCTTTTGATTGGAGGAACATACAGTATGAAACTCCAGATGGTACTTGTACAAAGCTAAAGAGCACATTTGTACATGATTTTACAAAAGAACAGGAGGAAATGTCCATGGCTGGACATGCAGTGCAGAGGCACAGCCCTGTCACTCCCACGCCCACCAGAGAAGGCGGCTGAGTGTGCAGGGGCAGGTTTCTGAAAGAACCTGTGATGCTCTGGAAAGAGCACCACACTGTTCTCCAAGGGGTTGCATTGGCCCAAGGTATGAAAATGTGAATGCTGGTGGGATGTTTAAGATTAGGACCAAGAAGGAAACTGCTTCTAGCTCTGCCCCATGTTCTGGTTTATGATGCATGTCCTTCCTCTGCGATCCTAACTATGACATACATAGCCACAAACACAACTCAAACATGGCACTGGGCAGTAACTCAGAGAGGTGAGCAGGGAAGATGGTCCTGTCAAACATGAACCTGGCTTTGTCCCTCCCTCAAAGCAGGACCCACTGATGGCCTCTATGTAACCTGTTGCTGTACATGACCCAGCTGTGAACAACCACAGTCAGAACAAGAAGCACTACCAACGGCAATGGTGGAGGAAGAACTTTGTTTAGCCAGCATTTATTTCTCAGGGAATTTTGCCATTGAGGGCCTGCTAGGGAAAAAGGCAGTCAGTAGCTGCCCAGGATACAGTCCCATCATGATTCCCCTTACCATGTGTAGGAGCAAAGTGATTTATAACAATTATCGCTGGAATCAAGGTGGTGTCATGTTGCCTCATCAACAATGAGTTAGCAAGATGGAGTAACAATGATGGGGAGGCCGGACCCTAGGGAGAGGGCCCTTGATAGGAGGCCCAGAAAGTCCGTGCTCACTGTGGGGGGCCCCCCAGCTCCAGGTCCTGGAGGGTGTCCTTCAGGGTCTGGCCCCGTGTCTCAGGCAGCAGAGCACATAGGAGGCCTGCCCCGATGGGGAGGCTGCCAAAGATGAGCATGGGGACCGCCTTGTGGTACTGCTCCAGCAGCATCACCAGAGGCGAGATGATGCCACCGACCCTGGAGAAGGTGCTCACCAAGCCCATGCCTGTTTGCCTGGGGAAAGCAGCACACACTGAGCCTCTAGCCACTGAGGAGGCTGCACTCACTCCACAGATGCAGGGCCCAGGGCTCTGCCATCTTCGGCCTGGCTGGGTACCTGCTTCCTGGACCAGCAAGCCCTCCCAGTCTCTCTCCTGTCATCTCTAGGAACCCAAACTCCTTTCCCACTTCTGAGTGCTCCTCTCCTGGGCCACGCCTTCACTCTCACTTTTGTCCCACATTCTGGCCCTGACAAGGCCAGGGCATGCCTGTGTCCACATCTGGCCCCCAACATCCTCCAAGCATCACAGCCATGTGTGGCTGACAGGGTTCTGCCAGAATCTCCAAGGTGGCTCCTCTCCCAAGGAAGGACAGAGGAAGCCAAGCAACTGGTCCAGAAGGCAGCCTCTGTGAACAGGCGGCCACTTCCTCCAGAGCTCCTGAACCAGGTATCTGCAAGCAGGCTCAGGCCTACCCCGCCTCAGGCCAGTCTCCGTGCCTGTGTCCCTGCCACTCACTCTGCCCCTCACTCTAGCTGGTCCTCGAGAAGACAGGCCCCTCGGGGAACGCCTTGGATCTCTTCAGACACCCTCATCTCAGGAAGGTGACTCTGATTCTCATTGCTGTCTGGTAAGTCAGGGCCTTGTCCCTCCATGAGGACAGCCAGAGGGCCACTCACGTTCTGCCGTGTGTCACTGGTGGGGTCCACAGAGGCTGTGGCTGTGACGGTCTGCCCCCAGGTGGGCCTGTGTCTCCTGGGGGGAGCTCATTAAGTCAGGGTGCTCCTCAGCAGTGACTAGGATACTTGGGTACTTTCTAGGTTTGTGGACAGTCTGGTGTATTATGGCCTCAGCCTCCAAGTGGGGGACTTTGGCCTGGATATCTACCTGACACAGCTGATATTTGGAGCAGTGGAGGTGCCTGCCCATTTTTCCAGCATCCTCTTGATGGAGAAGCTGGGTCGCAAGTGGAGCCAGTTGGGATCTCTGACGCTGGCGGGCGCCGTGTGCATCGTTGTCATCTTCATCCCAGGAGGTACCAGGGTGTTTCTCACCCTCTTCCTGTCTGCCGGGCTAGGCCCATTGCCCACACCCCCTTCAGGACTAAGGGCTTCCCCGGGGCATGGGGCAGAGGGTGAGGCTTTGAGTAGACAGGGAGGTGATGGCGTCCTTCCCTGTGTGTGGCCGGCTCCATTTCCTGCAGATCTTCCCGTGGTGGTCACCGTGCTGGCCGTGGTGGGGAAGTTTGCCTCATCTGCTGCCTTCACCACAACCTACGTGTACACTGCTGAGCTCTTCCCCACCATCATCAGGTAAAAGCCGCCTGGGCGACTTCTGGTCTCCGTCCTGGAGATCTCACACCACTCAATCCCTCTGTCTTCTGCCACCAGCCCCAGAGAGCCTGTGAGCTGCTACAGACCCTAGGCCCTTGGCAGTCTGCTGCCGCTCAGCAAGCTGGCACAGGCCTTGAGCTCCGTGCAGCCACCCAGAATTCCAGGCCACACTCAGCCTCCCGCCCACAGGCTCTCCTCTGTGCCCAGCACCCTGCCATAGCACTCCCAACTAGGGCGGCCCCGTCACTGGCAAGGGTCTCCTCACCAGAAGTAGAAGAAGAGCAGGAAGATTGGTGTGGTGCCGATTATCTGAAGGAGTCTCCAGTTGCGGACGCCATAGGCCAGGCCTGCTAATACCATCTGCCCAAGGGCAAAGCTGCTCTGGGCCAGCACCATGGCTCATGTTCTCCAGGATGGCCCCACCCACTCTGAAACTGTGAAAACCAAGGCTGAGACTGGGCCCAAATCTCCTCCCTCTGTGTTGCTATCCAGATATTGTGTCAAGTGCTGTGGCTCACTCACAGCATGGGAAGCTGTGCGCCGACCTCCTCAGGTGCAGACAACTGACGCTATCCCCACAGGCTGCTCAGGGCCCTCCAAGCTCAGCTTCCAGACTGCACTGACAGCCTGGGCTGAGGTACTCACCGATGATCATAGTGCTCATCAAATACCCAGCCACGGCAGAAGCTGAGACGAAGCACAGGGCCATGTAGAGCTCAAAGCTGGGCACGAAGGCCGTGGCCACACCTACAACACCCGACAGAAGCAGCTGCACCAGAAGGCTGGCTCTGCGGCCAATCCTGACATAACAGGGAGACAAGTCTGTGAGGAGAAGGGCCTTCCCAGGACTGAATCAAGGGAGACCCAGGCCAGCCTGTCCTGGGCGGTCTGTCAAGGTGAGGAGGTAGGCCTCCCCTGGGAGTCCCATTGGAAGGGAGGCATGAGGACTTATCTTGAAGCCCCCTGGGAAGGCTCCAGGGGGATAACTGAGTCAGCACTAACTGCCTGAAATGATGGTAGGTCAGCAGCACATACCAGTCACAGATGGGCCCAAAGATGAGGGCCCCAACGAGGAGTCCAGCCATGAACACCGACTGGGAGGTCCTCTTCAAGTTCTTTCTGTCACACACCAGGTCAAACTTAAATGGAAATAGGGTATGTAAGACTGGGTATAGCAGCCAGCACCATCTTTATCATCTAAACCCCATGGTTCCACATTGTGTGCCAAGGCAATCTTGGCACCATAGTGAATTCACAGAGTATTTAAAATTTAAAGAGACTATGATACAATCACAAATTCTGACTGACATCATACAGCTGCTAGCCAGAGGCAGGCATGCAGGCATATACCCTATAAAGCAGACGAAAAGCAGTAAACCACAGCAGACAGGCAATAAGGCAGGTGAAGGAAAACAGGAGACAGAGCAAGTCAGGACAGAAGGAAGGTCATCAGGCAGATCTTATGAAATGGACCATAGCAACAGCAGGTACGGAAAAGTGGGGAGAAGAATAAAGGCAGGCAGCTAGGCAGACAGGCCAAACGATACAGACTAGAGAATATAAAAAAATGACGAGTCACCCAGACAGCAGAGCAGAAAATGACAGTGGCACATGCAATCAGTTTGCATACAGAGCTCAAGGCTGGGCACAAGGCTGTAGCCTGGCCTGTGATGCCCAAGAGGGGCATTGGACCAGGATGACTGGCAATAGAGAAATCAGGCATAAAGATAGAGTCAGAGCAACAAGTATTGACCAAAGGCCCAGGGTCAGATGAGTGGACAGACCTGTGAAAGACAACCAACAGACTATCCTACCTCATTCTTTAGGGACAGAGGCCTGTTCTCAGGGTACTCCCAGCCTGAGTCGCAGGCCTGTGTCTCATTGAAGCGGTGGCTGAGGATGTCTTCCAGGCTGGCACCGTCAGGAGGTGGCCGGAACATGAGGCAGGACTCGGGCCTGCCTGATGTGTCATTGGGTATGCTAACGGCCAGCTGCTCAGCTGCACTCAGGTTGAGAGTGTGGTTCTTGACCCAGGACACTGAACAGTGGTGGGCTTCATCAAGGACCATGAAGACCTGACCAAACACGAAGAACGCAGACAGGAAATTGGGGATAGCCATCAGGATAGTCAACTGTATCTGGAAGCGACCAAAGTCGCCCACTTCAGCCATGACCTGTGCAAACTGAGCCATGTCTGCTTGTCACTCCTTAGTCTAGGAACACCAGGCAGGTCTGAATCCTGGCTTTGGGGCGCTTGTGTCTCTGGGCTGTGGTGACAGCTACATTAATGTTTAACCCAGCTTTGAGCAGCTACACCTATCAGATTATAGCTTATCTCCCTAGACTGACAAGACAGAAAATGGAAAAAATAAAACAGAAACAAAACCATACTCACCTGAGAATGCTTACGGGATGTAACAGACACAGGCATCCCAACGAAAAGGAAGAACAACGTTTCCAGGCCAAGCTCTTAGCACAATGCAGCTGTCAAGCTCAAAAACTTCCAACCATAACATCTTAAAACAACTCAGTAATCTCTAATTCCCTCCCATCATCAAAAATCTGAGATTCTCGGAGTGCCTACCACACCTGGAGGGCCATGAGCATCTCATCCAGAGACTAAATCTCACCAGACGTGGGGGTATAACAGGTACGCAGGAAAAACTCCTTAGTCAATGGTTTTTATCAAGCATTTAATTCCATATGCCACAACACCAAATATAATGGGCCTACTGGGTAACCGTGGCAAGACTGTCACAGCGCTGACCAACTGCACTCCTTTGGATTTGAGACCTCTTCCACAAAAGGGAATTTATGCCTAGTACTGTCAACATGATCAAAATCCGTGGCTACTAAAGTCTTATGCCTTAGGAAAGACTCTATGAATGTTGTTTTGTTAAATACCTATACTGTAAAACTGACTTCTCAATTCTTATGTTTTTATATTCATGTGTGATACTCACAATCTTGGTCAAAGAAGCTTCTTGTTATAGAGGGTAGTGGCTAGCTTTGAAACTTACTACCTGTTCAGATTGTTGAGGGTAAGCTCCCTCTGTGAGTGCTCAGCCTCCCAGCAAGGCTCACAGAACATTCCGGAAGAGAGGGCAGAAAGAATGTTAAGAGTTGCAGGTTGGTGTGGAATGCCTACCTCTGGACAGGACACAGCTGCTGCACACATCAATTCCTTGGAGCTGTAGTTACCTGCACATGACCTACGGAAGATCAAGCCAGCTAAAAATGCCAGCATTTATGAAACGGAAACAACCAAAGCATCCGTAAAGGAAATGTAGCACGTATGTACAACAGAATATTATCCACCATAGAAAATAACAAAACTCTGTTCTTTCCTGACAACATACTTTAAGCTGGAGATCATTATAGTAACTGAACACAGCCAAGCAAAGAAAGACAAATACCCTAAGAGCTCGTACGTGAACTCTTTAAAATCTTTCTCTCAAGAAGTGAGCATAAAGGAGTGGTTACCAGAGTCCTGGAGTACAGGGAGGGAAGAGATGAAAAAAGGTTAAGCAATGTCATGAGCCATGAGGAAGAAGCTCTGGTTTGCTGCTGTCTCACTCCACATTCCCCCACCCCAAGCTGGGGTGCTAAAGGCAACTGATGGTTGCTGATGGAAGAGGCATTCTTCTCTGAAGGAGTGACCACTGATAGGCTGGCCATGTTTCTCTGGATGAACTCATAGCCATCCATGCACATATGGGCTCATACATGTGTTAATTGTATTTACTGGGTTTTTGGCTTTTTTTCTAAAAGATGGCCCAGTGGCTAAGAGCACTTCATGTTCTTGCAGAGGACCTAGATTTGACTCCCAGTGCCCACAGCAGCTCGCCAGCATCTGTAACTCCAGTTTCAGGGTATCCAGTACCCTCTCTGACCTTCATGGACACCTGGCATATACATGGTACACAAAACATATATATGCACATGAAACACTCATACATATAAAAATAAATACATCTTTTAAAACTTTAAAATTTACAGTAACAAAATGAAGACATGAAGTTGGGAAGCAGATGTGTTAGGGAAAACTGGAAAAGACTAAGTAGAAGGAGGATATGACTAAGGAAAAAAAAAAAAGAGCCTGCACGAATTCTGCCAAGAGCCCATTCTTGCCTGTGACCTTGATAGTCTTCTTCTGGTCTTATTTTCTTCTGGCAGTAATACTAGCTAATCCCAGAGCAGCACACACATCAGGAGACACATAAAAGACACACCATGCCCTTTCTTTTTAGTACCAAAGACAAATCCAGACCATAGAGTGATTACAAGAATGTGTGTTCTGCATTTCCAGTTCTAATCAAGGAAGAAACCCTTAGAGCTTTTATTAGATTGAGAGCAAATACAGGCCATTCTGGTGTATCCCAATCTCCCAAAGTAATCAATGATAACTAGACACAGGGCAAAGTCCCCTCCACACCGCACTTACACAAGCACGTTGCGCATGTGCCTGCACATGCAGTGCACAGTGCTTATGTATTTACAAGAAGGGCTTTTCCTGTTCTGGGTCCTCACCATTCAAGAGTTAGACAGAGGGGCGTAAGCAGAGTATAGGAGATAAGGCAGTGGAGGGTAGCTCTTCGGTGAGGTCACTGCCCTGGCCTAACGGGCTCAGCTCGGGACAGTGGCAAAGCCGGAAACGTAAAGAGAGCACTTTTAGGCTTGCTTACCATTTACTGCCTCTAGTTGTCCTCCACCTCTGGCCCACCACCTAGATGGAGTATTCTTTATACTGAACTCAAAGTTAAGAGGTAGGGTGCTTATGCTGTGGCATGATTCACCCCAAATTTGTTTCTTACTCTACTTACCTTTCTGAGTAAAGGGAAAACTTGGGTTGGTCTCTAAAGATTCTTGTACTTATGAATACAGAATGATGCAAAAGGGTCAAGCCAAGCATGGTGGCTTACACCTTAATTTCCAGCACTGAGGAGGGTGAGGCAGGATCACTGAGAGCAGGAGACCAACCTGGAATAAACAGTGTGCTCCAGGACAGCCTAGGCTACAGAGCAAGACTTTATTGTCTCAAAGACAGAAACTCAGCAGGTAAAGATACTTACCAAGCAGCGTGCCAACCCGAGTTCAATCCCCAGAACCCACATAAAGGTGGGAGAAAACAGACTCTGTAACAGCGTCCTCTCTGACATGTTTTTGTGTGCATGGAAGCGTGCGTATGTACACTCATGAACACGTGTGAATCTCACTCTCTCCCTCTCTCTCTCCCTCTCTCTCTCCCTCTCTCTCTCTCCCTCACACACACACACACACACACACACACACACACACACACACGTACACTTAACATTACTCTAAGACCCAGAAGGGTAAGTAATGATTGTTTTCTAACCACCAGGCGACTCTTGCATGGCATAAATATATTCTCCATTTAGAGAGTGTCAGGAAACTCCCCTGCAAGCATCTGTCTGTAAAGACAGCTCGTGTGTGGAAGGTTAACACTGAGGTCATCCTCTAGCTTCAGCTAAAGCTTTAGACAGATGAAACTTGGCAGCATTTATTTAGATAAGAAAACATTCATGAGCCAGGCAACACCTATACCAGCAGAAGTGCCGAGAGCCTCGCCTATATGGGCAAGGTGGTATGTATACACAGGAAAAGAAAGAATATATAAAAACTTAAATTGTACTGTAACCTTAAACATAAAACTTTATATTCCACATGACACTGGGTTAAAGTTGGATAATTTTGGACACAGAAATTTTTTTTAAACAGTCATAACCTATAAAATAGTTGATAAGTTGGCCTTTATTGAAACTTAAAATACTTCTACTCTATGAAAGACACTGGTAAGGAGGATAAGATTTTAAGTCAAACTAAAAAAGATTGTTAGTCCCCCTCCCCCAATTTTTTTTTGGAGACAGGGTTTCTCTGTATAGCCGTGCCTGTCCTGGAACTCACTCTGTAGACCAAGTTGGCCTCACAAAGATCTGCCTGCCTCTGCCTCCGAGAGTGCTGGGATTACAGGTGTGCACCACCAAGACTGGCCATTTTTCTTTTCTTTCTTTCTTTCTTTTTTTTTTTTTTTTTTTTTTTAAGATCTTACCATATCTCCAGGCTAGCCTTGACCTCTTAATTATTCTGCCTTATTGCAACCAAAGTGCTAAGGTTACAGGCATTTATCATAATGTTTTCCTACAAGTAACTCTTAAAATTCAGTAAGAAAAGCAGCTGATTAAACATACATAGCTAACCGTTTACATAAAAATGGTCTTCTCAGACAGACAGACAGTTCTGCACAGTAACTAACCACCGCTTTGATGAAAGTGTTAAGGTCAAAAGAAACAAAGATCAAATGATCCCTAAAGACAATACAGGATTGTGGAGTGAGTCCAGAAATGGCACAATACTGAAGTAACTGAGGTTTTCTGAGTCTCTACTTTAGTCAGTAGTATCCTATCAAGGCTCATGTCCTGATTTTGAGAGATATTTACATTTAGATAAGACACAAGGCTGATATAGGTGAATCTTTGGTATTATTTGTAAATATTTTTCTAAGTCTGAGCTTACTTCAAAATAAGACTGAGTAGCCATGTCTCTGGAACACACAGAAAACAAGTTGACATGAAGATGCTCAACAGCATATTCATTAGGAGACTACAAATTAAAATAAGGAACTATAGTACACCTAACAGAATAGCCACATTCATGACAGACATCACCATAAGCAGCCAGGAGTGTAGAGCAACAGGAATGTAAAACAGTACAGCAAGGGTTTGGCAACTTACTTAAAAAACTACACATACTCTTACGTCAAAACCAAGCAATTATGCTCAATGGCATTTGTCAAATGAGTTGAAAGCATACGTCCACACAAAACCCTGCACAGATCTCAGGAGCTTTGTTCTTAACTATCAAGACATGGAAGCACAAATGCTGTCCTTCAGTGGGTGGACAAGCTGTGGTAGAGAACTGAAATTCTGTGCTAAGCAAACAAGCCAGCCAGCTATTATGTAAAGACATGAAAGAACTTTAGATGGACATTACTAAAAAGAAGCCAGTCTGAATAGACTACATACTGTGTGGTGGAAGCTACCTCTACAAAGACCAGTGGATCATGTGGAGATGCAAGTCACTGCAAGAGTGCTTGCCCAGCATGCACGACATCCCAGGTCCAACCCCATGTCAGTTGACAGGAAAAGAACAAATACAACCCACAACCGACAAAGACACGGTACCCAAGGGTCAGGGAAGAGATGAACAGGCTAGGCAGAACAGTTTTTTGGGGGCACAGACGTAGTTTATTAAGTATACCAAAACTTTAATTCTAGTGTGAAATGTTGGGGGCAAAAAGGCTGTTCAAGTATAAGGAACACATTCTACTTGATTTTGCTGTGAAAAATTGTCCTAAAAACTGAAATCTACTTAAAAACAAACTCGGGATAGGAGGAAGGGCTAAGAATCTAGCCTGAGACATGCTACAAAACAGGTAAGCAGAGAGCCACCTTAGTCTCACCCTTGCACACAGCATGGGCACATGTGAGTGGCTGACCCCTACTGTGTGTACAACACTCAGAGTTCGCTTCTTTAAGCTTTCATCAGCTTCCAGCTATACAGTCCTCTCAAGTTCTACAGCTCTGTGCTCCCAAAGACACACTGGGACCTACCGCAGGCCTAGCATAGACCTTGGCTACTTGTCAGGAAAGATTATGATCAGAAAGATTAGTCAAGAGTAGGTGAGTGGCTTTAAGGGGCCTAGAATTATCAGTGAAACCACACCATTTCAGGACAAGTTCAGCATGGCTCTCACTTTCAAGAGATTAAATCAAGATGTAACAGAGATGCCTCATGTCCACTTTCCTAGGGCAGTGTTCCCTTTTTCCACTTGGGGCATGTGATTCCCCAACTGGAGCACAACAGTTTTAAACTGGTCTACTAAAAGACTTGAAGGTAAGTATGCTTGTTTTACTGTTTATATGCGCCTTGGCTTCTCTATACTCAGATGATGAGTAAAAGAAGTAATTTCATGTCCTGCTCCCCAGGGCACTTTACCAACTGCTTAAAAAAAAAAGCATTCATACACCACTAAGGACAATTTATTCTTTATTGATTAAAAATGAAGAAAACATGCAGTAAAATACAAAGTCAAGAGAAGAGAGAAGGTAGCATTTTACACATCCATCTTAAGGAGGAACTGACATTTACAGGTATACCATTTCTAGCCTCCAGATTATTCAGTCTCAGCTAGCTCTAGGATTTGGTTCAAAACAGAAGGGAGGATGACAAAGAACCCAAATATTCCTTTAATCATTCAGAAAGATCATACATTTCAATATCTTGGCTACATTGGCACACGGTATCTTGGGCTATAGTTAGTCCCTATTCCAGGGACAGGGTATCTTGAGGACCTAGTGACAGAGGTACACCCTGAATCACTGCTCCTGGGTAGGAGGGTTCCACAAAGTCCCACCTCGGCAGTTTCCACTGACTGTTTTATCTGCCTCACTGCGTAAGCCAGCGGAAGGAATTCACCACACATCATGCAAAAGTAACACAATCCTGAGTCTTGGTGCCCACCTCCTAGTTCCTAGAAAAGCAACAATGAAGTGAAAAGAGCCCAGGGCCACTTTTACTGTCATGCCTGTCCCACACAAAAGGTGGGGCAAAGGTCTAGAGAACTGAACAGGAGAGGGGCTGGGTCGCTCCAAGCTAGGATGTCCCACATTCCTTCTTGAGCTCCAAAGTGAATTAAAATAAGCTGCTGAAACCAAAACAAATTCTATAGCAAGCCACTGGTCTTGTGTCAAAGATAACACTGCCTATTTTCCATAGCTCAATCCTACCTGTCCTGGCTTTTTTATAACCCTACCTCTAATAAGGGAGTGTTGGGGTTGGGGGAGGAAGAAATGTTTTCCCAGCTAACTGATCAATCTTTTTTCTCCCTCCTGGCTTGGTAGGTATCTCCTTTTACCAATCCTGCTGGGACTTTGGACTATCATCTAACCTATTCTCTTAACTCCACTCTCAAATCCATGTTCTCTTCCTCTCCAACATCCCTTTCCCAACATGCCTTTGCACTCATAACAGGTGAAGAAAGTCCTTGACTGAAACTACAGGCTCAGAATGAATGAAACATAAGGTGACACAGTTAGACATAGGGAAAGCTTTCAGGTGTTCCAAGAGAAAATGTGATAGAGCTGATTGTAATGAGCAATGCAAAGGTTTGATCTTTAGAACTGTGCGGGGTTGGAGTAAGGATGGAAACTCACTACGTACCTAATCTTGTTCATCAGACCAACACAGGCAAGTGCAAAGGAATTCTATAAAAGGCAACTAACTAGTTCCTTTCTAGGAGCCCAACAGCCCATCTTTGTGTGTCTCTTTAAGGCCAGACTGACTATTCCATTCTTATATAAAATTTGGTAACTTGGTAGGCTTCTTAGCAATTAGACAAATGCTATTAAACAGTAGGAAAAAAGAAAACCAACCCCACTGATTCACATATTGCATTGAGTGCTCTTTTTTAAACTACAGAATAATTTACATAATTTCTATAGAAAATCAAATTAACACTGTCTACTCATAAAACCTAGAGGTCACGGCACGTGTGGTTTCATGTTCCATCTTGGGTCAGTTCAGCAAATGAAGACCCCCCCCCCCCCTCCAAGGAGTCAGTGCAGGAGAGGAGCAGAAGGCAGGCCTCTAGCCTAGTGTGAGTCTCCTTTATTGCTGTAAAATCTCAGCCGTGTACACCCACTTCCTCATGACTTAGAGGCCAGGCAGATCCATCTTAACAGGATGATCAAAGTTTCCATTTTTCTTCAGTTTAACTTTTTAAAAATTGAAAATACTTTCCTAATGATATGACTCACAAGTTCTTTTTCCTGTTCAAAGACGACCTCTGGCAAGATAAGATTTAAAAGCCATTGCTTGATGGTTTTTGCACACACAATCCAAGGTTCCACTCTGAAGGAGCAGATGGCTGAAGTCTGACTACAGTCAGATGTTTTGCACCAGCTGAAGTTAAGGCTAGCAACCCTTTCTGTAGGGAGCAGTGAAGGGGGTGCCTGAGAACAGCTCAGCAAACACGGAGGAGACACCATGGACAGGACAGACAAGAGTTTAGGCTGCCTCCATCTGAGGCTGTGCTTTTTTCTAACAAAAGGTTGCTAGAATTCACATCAGGTACAAAGAAAAAAACAGTAATTAAATTCTCTGGGCTCCAGCTGAACAATCAACTTTTAATTGCTACTTCAGTGTTATCAAGCTAGCCCAAGATGCTCAAATCCCTGCAGGTGTGGGAGAACAGGCAAGATGAGGACGCCCGACACAGCTGCTACTATCCACTTGGGCCATTGCTGTAGTAAGGCAAGAATGAGCTGAGAGATTTCCACCCTGGGCCTTGAGGCGCACTGCTGCTTCTGCTTCTCAGATGGACGGAGAAAGGGGACTTGGGCAGCACACCTACTAGCAGAACTCTCTGAGGGGATGCTGGCCACTGGGGACTCAACTTTTCTTTCCTTGTGGAAAAAGGGTGGGGGTGGAGTGTCGGGGAAGAATGGCAAGAAGAACACAAAAGAAAAAACTCTAAAGCTCCAAGCCAGGAAGTTTGTTGCTGGGTTCTTTGGCAGTTGTGGGGTCAGGCCAACAGAAGCAACAGAGATATGCATGTGTGGCATCTCCTCAGGCTGACTCTTCCAGGACTGTGATTTAGCTAATGCTGAGCTGGGCAAATCCTATCAGCTTGCCATCATCAGGAATATCGGAGCCTTCAACACCAGATGCCTAAGAACCAAACAAAAATGACAAGGTGTGACAATTCATAAATAAAATTTCAGGTTATCAATAAAAGTTGATAAGGGGCCGCAGAAAGGAAGGTAGTAGGTGAAAAAGGTCCCTGGGATATAAACAGAAAAAAAGGCCACTGTGTTTCTTCCTGAAATGTTGGGGCTGTTGGTACAACTAGAGAGAGAGGCCTGGGTTGTAGCCTTCTGGGAGGGAGAGAGGATGTGAGGCCACTCAAATTGAGAGTTCAGCCCGGGGTCTTATAAGAGTAAATGAACACAGCTCAGCATATTCTAATAGTCTCAGCATCTAGGGACTAGAAAGGCTGGTCTGCAGATGAATAAGAGGGGTAAATACCAGTTTGAAAGTGACAGATCGATTTGACTGAGGCTCTTCCACAATTTTCTGCAAATTAGCTGCCACTGTAATCATACAAACAGAAAATTAATCAAGCAGCTACATAAATACATTTTTCAACATTATTTTAAAACCCTAAAAACGGTGGTTAAGAATCTTCCATGTATGCAGGGTAGTGGTATGCACGCCTTTCGTATCACCACTTTGGAGGCAGAGGCAAGAGATCTCATGAGTTCAAGGCCAGCCTGGGCTACAGAGTGAGTTCCAGGTCAGCCAGTGCTACACAGAGAAACCTTGTCTCAAAAAACCAAAACACAAAAAAACAAAACCAAAAGCAAAACAAACAAACAAAAAAGTCTATGACTCGGAGGCAACTAAATATAGCTGGTGATCTGTTTCTATTCTACCTGTAAATAAGAATGATTTTCAAAAGGCATATTATAAAACCCTTCTGTGAGATGTGCAGCTGTAAAATTCTAGTACTGCGGAGGCTGAGGCAGGAGATGGATGGTAAGCTCCAGGCCTACCTGGGCTGCAGAGCAAGACTCTATCCTCCCAAAAAAACAGCAACAAGAGACACAGACTATACAAGACCACAAAGCCTAAATTGGCCATTAGTAAGTGTGTCAGGGCAAAGTGCTGGCATGCCCAACTGGTGGCTCTTCCCATTAGTGTTAGCAGCTGTAGCCTGTCTTTCCTTTGGTTTTTCTGGGACTCACTCTGTCCTCCTCACTTCTGTGTTCTAAAAGATTAGTTATGCCAAAACATCAGAAATGCAGAGCCATTACCTTACTAACTAAGGACTCTTCCTGCCATTTTGCCTAGTGTCCCAGAGACATCTACCACCACCCATGGTCTGAGGAGGACAAGATTCTGAGTGTCTGCTCTGGTAAGAAAGTCTCTTTGATATTGTAACTTTAGGGAAGCCAAGACTATTTCAAGAAGCATCAGGTCTGCTTACTGGAAGATGGTTTTCTAGGTACCATGTGTACAAGACGACATGAGGGCTAAGGGCACAAAAGAATATGCTTACCTATTACTAAATCCCTTCCATCGACCAGGCCGGCGGAAATGAGCTCCTGAGAGACACCCTCCGCAGTATCTGCAAGGGCAAAGAACACGGCGCTGTGGTGCTTGTTCACATGTCCCTGTAGCTCTCTCAGTCAGCACAGGCGGGAACACTGCCAGAATCAAGCTGGCTACTAACTCTGCAGAATCAAGAAGGCAGGTGGGGTTGTCCCTAACTCTCAAGCGAAGAATTCTCATAGGTCTGGCTAGGGAGCAGAATCTGTATGAACTCCATGGCAAATATCAGCTGAAAGGAAGAGATAACTTGCTAAACTGTACAATGCAGAGTTCACAATCATATCAGAAGTGTGCCCTACAAGTAATAACAAGACATTCCTGTGTCAAGCATAACTCTGAACTTGAGCTCTCTGAGCTTAAAACATAAAAAATTCAGTGAATTTGAGTAAATTTCTCCAATTCAAAACTTGAGAAAATAAAATCTTTTCTGAGAATCATGGAAGTTTACTAAAATCATTATCATTATCTGGCAGTTTGTTTTCTTACCTACTCATCCTAGGTGACACAATGTAAGCAATGGATCTAACAGAAACCCAACAGATGAAGCAAACTATCGCAATCTAATTTCATCTTTAGGCTGGGCAAGGTGGCGCACACCTTTAATCCAAGGCACCCTGGAGGCAGAGGAAGGCAGATCAGATCTCTTATGAGTTCAAGGTCAGCCAACATTGCACAGAGACCCTGTCTCAAATAAGCTAACAAACCCAACTAATTTCAACTTTAACTGATTAGTACTGGAGCCTTGTAGAAGGAACAAGAGAATCAATGCCGAGGCGGCGTGCACACAGGTAACTAGCAATTCAGATCCCCGAAGACATCCCTACAAAGTAAAATGCACACCTCTGTATGTGTGCATTCAGAAAACTAACTGTGGGGCCTGGCAACAGGCATTTGCTGGCCACTCCTCGACCTTGTTAACAAGGCAAGAGAGAAGAAGCCCTGTCTTAGGGCAAAGTTCACTATTAGAAAAAGTACTGTGACAAGGTTCACTTTCCACGGGAGGAGAAGGGAAGCCTGGAGCTGTGTCTTTTTTTAATATCAGAGAAAAGAGGCATGTGCAATGATAAAGCAAGGACTCTGGACTCTAAGCTCAGTGCATCTTTGTAACTTATGAACTTACTCTGCCTTCCTCTAACTCTGGAGATCACCCTCTTAAACAGGAGTCATTTCTCCTTAGCCGGCTGTCTTAAGACCTGACTGGGACCCATAGTGGCATTTACTAACAGGCCTGTCTGTGTTCATTTCCATATGTCTTACTACAGGCAGGTTTCCGAATGAAAGTAGTAGTAAATCCATTGCAGTTTTTCTTCATGCATATTTCCCAAGACCTATGTCAGGAAGCTTTACTATCCTTTAAAAACAAAACTTACCTAAATGACAAAAATTTTATACCTTAATTAAGCAGCGAATTATCTGTCAGTGTATTTTCAGCCACATTTTTAACACTCACCTCTCCCAGGAGTAAATTCAAATCTAATATCATTTAGCTCTTTTTTGGAATTCCTATTAAAGAGAACAGAATAAGGAAAATAAGAATTTCATTTATGCTTACAGCCTAACTACATATGTACGCATGTGTCTACATATGCACGCATGTATATGTATACATACAGAGATGTATGTTTATATGTGTGAATGTATATGACTGTTCTGACAGATCACTTGTCCTGATGTACTCACTCTACAGGGCTCTGAGCTAACACTGTTCACATTATCATCACATTATCCTATCTGCCTTTAAGTATACTATCCTCCACTGATCAACACAAGAATCTTTTGAGGATGCGCATGCCCATTCCCACCTTGTTCCCACTAAGATGATGCTCTGACCTGAATGAGACCCATCAAGTTAGTGAGTTGGAAGTCAGTCCTTAGTGCAGCACTGAGAGGCTGCTATGTCACTGCAGGGAGCAGGTGAGCTCACAAAGTGAGCTGTGCCTCCTCGTGCTTCCTTGTGCACGCTTGCCTTTTTGGCCACAAGATAAAGCAACATAAAGGCCTTCATTAGATGTACACACAGACCCTACAACTCTGTAGACTTCTGGCTTCCACTGTACGAAAGCAATCTCTGGATTCTGTTGTGGTTTTCTTGCTGCTGCTGCTATTGTTGTTAAGACAAGATCTTATTCTCCATAGCCTATGTTGACTTAGACTCTCAGCAACTCTTCTGCCTCAGCATCCCAAGTGCCAGGGTTATAGGTGTAAGCTATCACACACCTGCCAAAACTCTATTATTTATAAATTACTCAATCTTTGGTATTCTGTTTTGATAACAAAAAAATGAACTGGCGGGGCTAGAGAGATGGCTCAGAGGTTAAGAACACTGGCTGCTCTTACACAGGACCTGAGTTCAATTCCCAGCAACCACATGGTGGCTCACAACCATCTATACTGAGATCTGGTGCTCTCTTCTGGCGAGCAGGTGTACATGCAGACAGAACATTGTATAGATAATAAATAAATCTTTAAAAAAATAAAAATCAATGAACTGGAACATATAAGATTCAAAGAAAAACCTGTGACCACAAGTAGTGATTCAAAGGCTAAAAGATCCCTTTTTCAGCCTTCTTCCCACTCCCATTTGTCCACTATGACAGACGCATAAAATTAACCTCACATTATCCCTTCAGTCTGCACAACACTGCAGAGAACTGAGGTCAGGATGAAGAGGAAAGCTTTAAAGGCAGGTTTCTGTCTGCTGATGCCTTTTAGTTAACGTGTTCTCCCGCATCTAAGTCTACGCACACAGTGCGTGCCTAGTGCCTTCTGAACCCAGAAAAGGGCGTCAAATACCCTGGGATTCGAGTTACTGATGGTTGTGAGGCGTATGTGAGCACGGGGAGCCCAACCCTGGTCCTCTGCAAGAGCAGCCAGTGCTCTTAGCCACTGAACTATCTCCTCCACCCCCAAGACAGTTTTAAATGGGACTGAAGATGAGCAGGATTTGAACAGGCAGAGAGGGCAGGAAAAAGAATTGGGCCCACACTGGTAACAGTTAATAGATGACTCCAGAAACGCAAATGTGACTGGTGAGGTACAGCTGTGATCAACATTCAATGTGCTGAGACTATCCAGGTTCTCTGCAGGTTCTAGTTAAGGTAGAGAAATCAGAACATAATGTCTACAGCACAGGACAGCTCACTGTGCAACAGGTTCTTTTCACAAATAATATACTTGAGGACTTCTCACTGAAATTGTGGAATTTAACTGGCGTTCCAATTACAAATAATAATGTAAACTGACTGAAGGTGTTTCCATCATCTCTTCTGCTCATTTAGCTTCAAAGTCTCCATCAATGGGAATAAGAATCCACCTTTCCATTTCTCTAACCCTGAAATAGTGATCATTAAACAATCACTCTCACTAGGCATTATGGCACACAACTTTGATCCAGCACTTTAAAGGGAGAGCAGATGGATCTCTGTGAGCTGAAGGCCAGCATGTTCTACATAGTAAGTTCCAGAATAGCCAGAGCTACACAGTGAGACCCTGTCTCAAAAACACCAAACAACAAAACAAAACAAAAATAAGTGAAAAAGCCACTGTCAAGATAAAAGAAAGTTCTCACATACAAGCGTCCTCCCTACTTTCCCGACACACATGTACTGCTGTAAGACTTCAAGACAGAGTTCTCTGGAGAGCGGCACATGTGCTCTGTGCAGTTACGGCAGGCCAGGGCACCAAGTGTCCGTCCATCTGCAACTCAGTTTCAGAAGGAAAGCAACCAAATCTGCTTCTTCAGCACTTGTGACATCACTTCACTGCTCCTGTGGCCGCTCTCTCTCACCTTACAGACAGGATAGCCTGGCATTCCTGTGAGGAATTCTAGTACATAGTATTTCAGTGGCAAACGTTAATACTGAAAGAAGACCTGGCCTATATCTGGGCTTTTTTTCTTTTTTTTCCAATTTATGGAAATTGGAAATTTCTTTCCATTTATGGCTACACAGAAACACTACAATACCCAAAGTTATTCCGACAAGAAAATTATAGAATCTTGAAGCAACTACTGGAGAGGGGATAGGGCTGAAACAAAGACCTGCTGCCAGTGACACTTCTTACTGGGCAATCTGTGTGGGCCTTTCTGCAGACACATCAGGACGCTGCGAACATTATCTACAGCTGTTCAATCACAGCTGTAAAGCATCGACACCCAGAGTCCATGGCGCCCACAAGCCACATTATCAGAGTCATCTTCAGAGAAGCAGCTAGTGCTGCCACTACAGCCCTAACTGCCATGTTGCTCACTACGAAGCAGCTATGCACAGCAGTCACGGAACCTGTCAACAGCTGGATTCTTAAACTGCTGTTAGTGTTGCTAAGGAAATTACACCTACAAGCAGCAACTCACGTTGGAAACACACACGATCCTATGCAGTTATTCTCAGTCCCAATTATAATATCTACAGAGTACTCAGCAGCAAATGCCCACTTACCTTAACCTTAACACTAGACTGATGGGGATCTTGGTCTCCTGGGACCGTTCTCCTGAAGACTGAGCCTGAAATGCATTGATAGTATAAGTCACTGTCCGGAAGGATAAAGCAAGGATAATGGTCATTTAAGAAAGACACTTGACAGTGGTTTCCTTTCTCTCTAGCCCAAGCCCTTCTAGTCCCGAAGACAGAGCCTGCTGTAGGAGGCATCAACACCAAAGGAACAACAAGAGGCAACTGTCAGCTACTTCAAACATAGCTGAAAAGTTAATTCCTAAGGAAAGGCCTAAACTAGCTGTCACTCCATTCAACCCAGGGTTCCAGGGCCTTCTGTGGTTAAAGTAAATCTTTCTGACATCTGTAAAGTTATCTTTTCTTGCTGGAGGACAGAGAACCTATTTGTGTATAAAAATAATCTCTTCACCAATTTTTCTAAGACACTTGTATTCTTTTCCCAGGTAATAGATGAAGGAAGGGAATTCATCACAATGATATACTAGAAGTGGTCAGAGCAGTGGAGGTCAGAGCACAAGATGAAAACATATTACAGTGCAAAAGGAAACACCAGAAACTTCCATTTCTTTTCTCACATAGCACTTCTGACAGTTAACGTAAGATCACACGATACGAAATAGCAAAGGTTTCCAGATGGAGCCACAGAGTTAAGTATGCAGGGAATCACGGGGAAGCCATTATTACCCAGACACTTCTACCATACTACAATTTAATAACAATCGTGTGTGCTTAATTAAATATTACCTAGTTTAATAAAATCAATTCTCAGAAAACAGACAACTATCTTCAACAGAATAAATCTAAAAACAGAACCTAAAAAAGAAGTATTAATGAGTGTAACTGAACAAAAGGAAAACAGGTGGTTAACTCTCCAGTCTCCACATAAACTCTCTTAACTGTACTTAGTTTCATTAAACTTAGTGATGGTCTAATGAAGAACTGACAATACTTTTTGTACTTGGTATGTTTTCATAACTAACTTATTTTGTTGCTTAAAAACCTGTGTGATTCTTATAGAACTTTTATTTGTATCTGTAAAACTATGAAGACAAAATTTCTCATTTGTTCCAAACCAAAATATCATCTTGAGAGTCCACAGGCTACATTACAGTTTTCTCATCTGCTCACAAGGTGACGGACCAAGAAATCCCAGCCCCCTTTACCTGTGCTGCTCTTGCTGGCTCTGCAGGGGGCAGGAGAGAGACCTGAGCTGGCTGTGCAGGTATCTGGCCAGCGGGCTGAGGTAGATGGGCAGAAATCTGTTCTGGAACTTGGAGCAAAGTGGCCATGGGATCAGCTGCTGAGAAGAGCTGCAGAAGACACAGGAAGTACTGCGTAAGCAGGAGAGGTCTGCGACACCTGAGCCAGCTCACAGGGCAGCGTCCACAGCGTAATTACCACTTCTCTGCACTTGTCTGGGCTACACACAGTCAGTCTTTCTAAGCACTCTAAGATGATTTTAGGTTTGTTCTTTTAGAGGAGGGTGTTTTGCTTTACTAAGCAGGCTGGTCTGGAACTTGCTGGTCAGTCAAGGCTAGTCTCACCCCACATCTCTCCTCAGTTTCCCAAGTGTTGGGACTATAGGTATGTGCCAGCATATGCAGCTCAGCAACTTTTGAGGTATAACCTTTGAAAGAAGAACCTAGCGGGAGGTGAGTGGGTTGTCATGGCTGACCTCTGGAAGAGCGGACTATTCTGACAGAAAGTCGAGAGTCTCTTCTAGCTATGCGGTCTGCTGCATGTGCTTCTGTCTGTTGTCATGGCTGACCTCTGGAAGAGCGGTCTATTCTGACAGAAAGTTGAGAGTCTCTTCTAGCTATGCGGTCTGCTGCATGTGCTTCTGTCTGTTGTCATGGCTGACCTCTGGAAGAGCGGACTATTCTGACAGAAAGTCGAGAGTCTCTTCTAGCTATGCGGTCTGCTGCATGTGCTTCACACACCATGCAGCCTGCAGCGTCATGCTGCAGTCAGAGCCTACAACAGCCACCAGAAAAGCCACCACCACTCCTGTGAATTCTGGCTTTTTCAAAATTGTAAGCTAAGAGAAAAGAAACATGGGAGAACAGACAGCATCTTCAACACATGGTACCAGAAAAACTGGACTCTCACTTGCAACCCTGCACAAAAATTAGATCAAAGTGTATCAAAGTCTTCAGTTTGAAACCCGAAACACTAAACTTCTACAAGAAAACAGAGACATTTTTATGTAGCACTGGGGGTGGGACTCAAGACTTCAGGTATGCTGCCAAGCACCCTACCAACAAAGCCACAACCTCCACCTCTGCTGAATTTCTCACTGTTCAAAGAACTGACATGGCACATGTATTGGCAGCCCTGAGAAGTCCCTATGTACTAGAGTGAGGAATAGGGACACATGTAGTCTGTGTACATAAGTCACGCGCTTAGTAATACATGTAAACTGCATACTATATCTACTGATTAAGAGAAATGTAGGTTTTTAAATCACACACTGTACTCCAAAGAGAAGGTGCTCCCAGGAGGAAGAATATACAACACAAGAGAACCATGAACTCACTTCCCTCAGGTATGAAGAATACAAATGGTCCACTTTACAGGATGCTGCTTGGTGGGATTTCCTATCACACTGGTATAGTCAAGTACAAAAACCAGAAAGCAAAGATAACAATACGGCAAGTTCCTGGACAGATTAAGGCAAAACAACTGCTTTCCACTTCAAGTAGCCCCAACCTAAAACACAATTCAGCAAGCAAAAAAGAATACTCTGAGTCTTTCAGCCATCTTAAAATCTGGCTGGTGCAATGCCTCATTAACATTTAATCACACAGAGAGACGCTGAGAAAACAACAAAGATAGACAGATTGAACAAACAACATTAAAAACAAAACAAATATCTACTTTAACAAGGGCATGATAATCTCCGGTTACTTACCTCAGAATTTGATAATGAGTCTTTCACTCGGGGAGACTGAAAGAGACACAGAAAAAGATGCTTATTAACTCATAATGAAGGATTACTTGTGATCAGATTCAAGGATTGAATTCTAAGAACTATAAGAAAAACTGATTGTAAGTCACTCCATTCCATTCTGATCCATATATTAACTCAAATCTAAGTTTTCTGAAAATAGAAAGCTGTTGTGATATTATTACAGTATTTGTTCAAGTAGTCCATAATAAACATATCAATATACTTTCCGAATTACAAGTTAACAGCTTCAGCCAGACATGGTGATTCACCCATGTAATCCCAGTACTCAGGAGGCACAGGCAGGCAGGTCTGTCTCTGTGAGTTCAAGGCTAGCCTAGTCTACAACTTGAGTTCTAGGCCAGCCAGGGGTACATAGCGAGACACATACCCCTACCCCCCATGACAGAACTCATCTCAAACAAAATAGAACAGAGCAAAACAAAAAGAAAATTTAACAATATTAGTTTTTATAAGCAAATATCCAGACTGTCTGAATTCCCAGAAAGTAGAGGTCATACTCAAAGCAAATTTCTTTCCACTAATCATAAACATTCTATGTACCTACGACCACAGGTTAAATCTAAGCCTTTAAGCTAGTCAACATGTTTTCAAAATCCCACTGTAAATTTTCTTGCACACAAATACTTGCATAACCATGCTGTGCTATCCACAACAGGTCCATGTCCGTTAACAGAAGAGTGGATAAAATGAATGTGGTAAGTGCCCAACGGAGTTTTATTCAGCCATAAGGAAAAACAAAAGCATGGTGTTTGCAGGGAAATGGGTGAAACTGGAAATCATTAGGCTGAACGGAAACCAGCCCCCTGGGTAGAAATGTGTTGCCTGGATTACTTCCACTGGTGCCTGCGCGTTCAGTGAGTCTAGAAAGAGAAGCAAAGGAACTGAAGAAGGTATCTTACTGCGGAGGGGAGAAAATAATGGGATGCATGTGCTGTGAAACCAGAACAGGAGGTACTGTAGGGGAAGAAGGAAAACGAGCAAGAAATGAGCTGGAAACAAAGGAACATGAAGAA